GGCATTTTTTTGTTTGTTTAATATTAGAATGCATAAACTTATCACAGTAAATCATGTTCAAGCTTTTGTACTGAGCGAAATACCTGTCCAACTGGTTTGAAAGACATCTAGAAATATTTTAATAAAAAACGTTTACTAACGGCTCCCATTTTACTTCTCAGATGTGCGTGTGAATATTGCATCTAACCAAATTACAGTGTTACTGTTGAATTCAGCATTGTAAGAGTAGACTATGTTGCGTGGCCTTCTATTGCAAGAAAAGACCGTAGCACAAGTGAGGCAGAAACTGGGCAGGAGCTTAAGCTGAAAAACGCACTTTCATAAACACACAAAAGAAATAAAAAGAAGTGTATAGTCAAGCAAAATGGTTTCATGTCACCCCCCAAGGCAGATACATACACTGCGCTCCACTGTTAATACGAACACGAAAAAAATCGCTTTTATTCGCAGTTTATTTCTTTGACAGCTATTGAAAAAGCTGAAAATTTGTCGCTCAGATTAGTGCCCCAAACGAGCGCTTTATTCCACAGCAATAGGCAAATGTCAGCCCCTCGAACTTAAGGTGAAAAATTAAAACCGGATATTGAATGCTCCCGCTAACAGTGTCGCGCAGTGTACATAAACACCAAGGCACCATGTCACAAACCGAAGCATACGAAGAAGAAACGACTCATTTCATTGGGAAAAAAAAAAAGTAGATATATATATGGAGCACTCGCTTTTGCTAATTTTCACTCTCTTGCTGCCTGAAGTAACCAAACAAAATATCTGTTGGCTTGCCGACTGCTCTAGTCTTTGGTCCTTAACCTTTAATTTTTGGCTCTGGAGAGCCGCGGCACCGCGGAAAGCAGCAGCCCGTACCACCGAGGCCCGCGGTGCCGCGTCTAGGGAACATGGTAATGTGATGAGTATATACGTGCAAGATGACGACGACATGGGTTGTTGGTATTGAGGAGGGTGGCAGTCCGATTCGCAGAAGTCCAGACTTCGTGGAGGCGGGTTGGGCGGGTGAGCAGCGAGCTATGAGGATCTTGCACGCCGTTCGATCAGTGCATGAAGGAGCACCAGGAACATAATTTCGCTATTGCTCACTGGAGTCCACTGGGGTCAAAGAATCATGCTCCAAGGATGTAGTCCAGCCGAAGTAGAAACTTCCGCCTCCGAGGAACCGAGGCCCAGGGCTCAGATTGAGACACCGCCGTCGCCCGGTGTGTCATCCTCTCAACGTCGTCGTCGTCATCTCGCATAGAAAAATCGAGCCCGCTGGCTTACACAAGGCAGCACCTGTTCCCACCGTTCAGGGGCCGTGAAAGGATTGCGGCCAGCGATTTCTCGAAGCAGCCAGAGGTTCTTGACTACCGTGAAACGTTTTCTGGGGGACGCCTTTTCAAACAAAGTCTGCGCAGCTTCTTAGTGCAGCGAGGTTCATAAGGGTCAAGCGCGCTCCCAAGCATGATTTCAAATAGCGAGCACCCCCTTTCCAGAAAAGCACCATCTAGTGAACCTTTACTGAGAGTGGAACGTACTTCTCAAAATGGCGACGATAGCGGAGCTGACGCTTCACGCTCAAATCCCAGAGCGGGTCGCGCATGCGCGATGGCGACTCCGCTTCCCATAGAGCGGAGCGGGAAACCGAAAACGGTCTACTAAAACTCTCTAATATCTCAAATAACACTGTCAGAAAGTTTCTTTTTACAGAATTCCAGCAAGTTATTTACGAAACTACGGCAAGTTATTTACAGAATTCCAGCAACTTATTTACAAAACTACGGCAAGTTATTTACAGAATTCCAGCAATAAATTGCACTTCGGATAATAAGCGTTAAAGAAATATGTAAACTTCTCTTCGCCCCAAGACAAATATAGTCAACTGTCACGTCTGTCACCGCGGGTCAGAGACTCAGATCTCTAAACCGAACCGGTGGTCGGCGAGTTCGGGTCGATCGCCGAAGCTCCTCCACTGGGGGAACGGAAACTGGCACTGGGGGAATTGTAGCATCCACTGAGGGAACGGGAATTTCCGGTGGCAACCTCACTCTTTAGTGCGTACTTGGTGGCACCGTCACGGCACCCTGTCGAGAGTCAAAAAGACCGGTTGGACTACCTGGGCACGCTTCGTCTCCATCCTCATCTTGTCCCCGTGGAGGTGGAAAAGGCGGAGGCGTATGTGGCCTTAGCTGCTGCTGCTGCCACTGAGTAGCCTGCTTTAATCTGTTTGGCCGCCACTCATGATGAGGACGCTGGCTTCTAGAGGTCTTTCTGAGAATTCCCTGTGTACGAAGGCGCTCAAAAGACTGTGTCGTTGCTTGCGACGACTTCTCAACGTTATCTGGGCCAGGTGGAGCCGTTGCCGCTGTAAGCTTGGAGGCGTTCCAGATCCGACCGTCCTGAAGCTTGAAGGTCCATCGACCGACACGCTCCACAATTTTCATTGCCGGACCAAAAGCTTGGTCTCCCTTCTTTACCTTTCCTGGCTTCCTGACGCGCACCCATCCGCCAACCTGGAATGTCGGAACTTTGGCAGCTCGCCGTCTGTCTGTGTAGCGCTTGCTGTGCTCTTGTCCCCGCTGCACTCGGCACCGCAGACGCTGCAGCTCCTCAAATGGGTTCTTCAAGAACTGCGATGGAGAAAGGCCAGTGATGTGAAGCCGGTTGCGTGGCTTGCGTCCATGTAGCAGAACCGCAGGAGACAGTTCTGTCGTTGCGTGCGGCGTACAACGATACACGCACAAGTAATCCAGAACGGCAGAGTGGATTGGACGCTTCTCTAGTGCAGCACACTGTAAGAACGACTTGAAGGTACGATTAAATCGTTCTACTTGCCCGTTCGCTTGTGGATAATACACAGAGACCAGGTGATGGTTAATACCTCGCTTAGCCAGGAAGCTCTCGAATTCTGCAGAAGAAAATTGAGGTCCATTGTCAGACACAATGGTGTCGGGGTATCCTTCCCGAGAAAAGACGAGCTTCAGGAATCCGGTCACCGTGCTTGTCGTGACGTTGGAGCAAAAATGGACTTCAGGCCACTTTGAAAAATAATCCACGAGCGTGATGCAGTACCGATACGCTGGTGGCGAAGCTTCAAATGGGCCAACGATGTCGATGCCGAGCTTTGACCATGGTCGCTCTGGCAAGGGCACGGGTTGCAAAGGTGTTGGCGATGTCTTTGCACTCTTGTCAGCCGAGCTACAAACACCGCAGGCTTGAACTGCCATTTTCACCTCCGCATTCATGCGGGGCCACCAATATAGTTCGCGAAGGCGAGTCTGCGTCCTGACGATGCCAGGGTGGCCCTCGTGTGCTCGGCCGATGAGAGCATTTCTCATACTGGTAGGAACGACGAACTGTTCCCCGCGCAGCAGGAGACCGTCGTGTACAGAGAGTGTCTCTTTAGTGGCGTGGAAGATGGCTTCGTCGGAAGACAACGCCCTAGATGGTGGCCATTCCGACATGACATAAGACATCACTACAGTCAGCTGGGGGTCATCCGCCGTTTCCTGTTGGAGTTGAGCTTTTGATATGCATTCGTCGTTCAGAGCGGTGAAAGACACAATCTGCTCGTCAAATGCTGTCCCTCCCTCATCTTCCGGTACCGGAAGTCTGGAGAGAGCGTCAGCTACTTGATTCTCTGCGCCACGCTGGTACTGTACTTGAAAGTTATAGTTCAGCAACCGGGTCGACCACCGAGTGATCCGGAGTGGGCGATGTCCGGTCCCTCTTGTGGCCAAAAGAGCGACGAGAGCTTGATGGTCTGTGCGCAGAGTGAATTGGCGACCCCAGAGATATGTGTGCCATTTTTCACAGGCCCACAGACACGCAAGGGCCTCTCGTTCACCCGAAGAGTACTTCCTTTCTGCGGCAGTCAGCGTTCGTGATGCGAAAGCAATTGGGTGAATGTCTTGTCCGTGAAGCTGCTGCAACACTGCTCCAATCCCATAAGCTGAAGCATCCGTAGCTACGATGATAGGCAGCTCTGGGTCAAACATCTTTAACGTTCTTGCAGAGGACAGCAGTGTTTTCACCCGATTGAAACTTCGATCTGCTGCCTGGTCCCAGATGAACGGGGTGTCCTTCCTCAAGTACGTTCGAAGCGGTTCCACTTCAGAAGCCAGGCGCGGTATAAAGCGTGAATAATATTCAACCATTCCTAGGAATGACCGCAACTGCTTTAGGTCCGTGGGAATGGGTGCCGCACGAATAGCGTCGACTTTGTTTTGAAGGGGTGAAATCCCCGCAGCACTAACTTTGTGCCCCAAGAACGAAATTTCTCCTACGTCAAACACGCATTTGTTGTTGAGTTTCATACCAGCCTCAGATATGCGCACGAGCACTTCTTTCAGGCGTTCCAGGTGCTCCTGCTGGTTCTTACCGTAGACAACCACATCATCGAGGTAGAAAAGCACTCCTTTGCAGCCCTGTAATATCTTCGCCATCATCTGCTGAAATGTGGCTGGCGCTGAGGCTAATCCAAAACACACTCGCTTAAAGCGAAACAGTCCTTCATGCGTAATAAACGCTGTCAAATCCCGACTATCCGGGTGTAATGGGACTTGATGGTATGCGGCAGCGAGATCTAATTTGGAAAAACGCTGCGCTCCATGTAGGGCGTTGAGCAACTCTTCAATGTGTGGAAGCGGGTAGCTGTCGATTACGACCGCTTTGTTCGCTTCACGAAGGTCAACACACATGCGGATACTGCCGTCCTTCTTCTGGACGACTACTATCGGTGACACCCATTCTGAGGCATTAATGCGTTCGATTACTCCAGCTTCCTCAAGACGTTTAATCTCGTCAGAAACTTGTTGTCGAGCAGCTTGAGGAATACGTCTCATACGATGTTTAACAGGAGTGACAGAGGAACGGACCTTTATCTTACAGGTGACTCCCTTGACTCGGCCTAGTCCTGGAGTGAAAAGATGATCGAAGTGTGTCAGAGATGATGGAAGTCTAGGAATGGAAGACACAGGCTTCGCTAAGGCAGTTGGTAGAGTCCGACTTGCCTTTGCTGGTGGCAGAAGACGTTCAGTCCACTGTTCCTCCAGTGCAGCTGACGAGTCGTGCAGCTGAGAGGTCGCGGCTGAATTTGCTACCGTCGACTTGGCTGACAATGTAGGTAATTGTGACGACGTTGACGGTTGTTCTGCCGCACTTGTTGAAGCCTCACCGGTGTCACTGGTCGCAGTATAGAAACAAGTCCGCGTTGCTCCGCTCATTTTGATGTCGAGTGCCACGACGGCGTCCATGCCTAACAATGATGTGCCTTGGTCTGCAATGTAGAATAGTACTTGCGAGCGACGCTGCTTGAATACCACCATGGCCTTGAAGGCTCCCATGATATTAATGGGCTGGCGCGAATAATTCAGTAGCGTCACCGGTGGTGGTATGACGAGTGCATCTCGCGCAAACCATTGCATGAACGTGGCTTTGTCCATTATTGAGACGGATGACCCGGTGTCGAGCAGGAACTGTATCGGCGTTCCAAAGACTTTGGCGGTAATCAAGACTTTTTTAGTTGATGATTCTGTTATGTGGCATACGATCTCAGAATCATCGTCGTCGTCGTAGTCATCATAATCTGAGAGCACCTGCTCCACTTGCTTGTATCGCGATCGCTGGTAGTCCCGACGTATGCTTCTGCATACGCGGCCAAGGTGACCCCTGCGACCACAGTTGTAGCAATAAAGGTTTCTTGCGGGGCAGGTGTCGTAGCTCTGGCATCGATGAGGACCATGTCCGCAGTTGGCACAAGTACGTGTGTGGCGAAAATTGTCATGTCGCCTTGAATGCTGCCGCCCTTGCCAGCCTGGCCTTGAGCGAATTGACTGTGCCGCGGGGTCCTGACGGCGGTCCGACGACTGTCCAGGTCGTGGTTGCTGATGGCTGGAGAACGGATCTCGGCCGCTTCCCCCGCAGGTCGCACACGCGTTTCTCGAGGCAGGACGTTGTCTCGCAACCCTCTGGGATGATGACCTCCGTGGAGGTGGCGGCGATGTCTCATAGCATATCCGTTGTGAAGAACTATGCTGACGGGCAGGCTGCTTGAATGGCGTTCTGGAAGCATGCCCTTCACGTCGCCCGGACTGTCTCTCCCTGGGTTGTCTCGAGGCTGACGAGTCTGATGAGTGCGTCACTTGACAGGTCTGCTCGCTCGGTGCAGCGACGCCAGCCCACTCTCGAACCTCTCGACGTGATCTTTCCAGGTTCATGACGGTATGCATAACAACGTCGAACGGGAGAGCTGCATCGAGGACCATCCGTTCCTGAATTTCAGTTGAAGCCACTCCAATCATGAACTGTTTCCGGATACGGTCTTGAGTACGGCTTCCAAAATTAGCGTTGGCGGCTAACGTCCGTAGAGCCGACAGAAAATCGCGAAGGGACTCGCCTTCTTTCTGTCTTCGTAGATGAAACTGGAGCTCCTGGAGCGTCACATTGACTGGCTGTGTAAATTCAGCCTCCAGTAACTTAACTGTTTCCTCGTAGACATCAAGGGGAGCTCCCACAACTTGTTCGCCACCTGCTGCTGCCAGCGGTGCTAGCGCTTCCTCAACAGCAGGCTCAGGCGTTGGTAGAGCGTCGTAAATCTGCTGGCCGGCCTCTCCGAGACAGTTGAGCAGCATTGCCCGACGGCGTTCTGCACCAAACTCTTGAGCGCCAGTTGCCAGCAAATAACGCTCAAACATCTTGATCCATCGCTCCCATGGAATGGGCGGAGGTCCCAGCTTGACTAAGAACTCTGGGGGTAGCTTGCCGCCCGAGGCCATGACTGCTCCAAGATGGCTTCTCAGCACTCGGTGATGCCGTTCGATGTAGTCGCCATCTTGTTGCTGGATCAGTTCTGGGGAAGGTTTTGCCGGGACACGCAAGAAATTGCCCATTCGGCGATCAGCATTCCCCGCATGTCCTCGCTGAAGCCCAGTCCAGCGCAGAACTCACGTAGATCCTCGTCGCCATAATGTAGAATTCAGCAGCAAGCGTACCGCTATGAAAGAACGACCATCTCGTCCGGTGCCTCGTGATGAACTGCTTTTATGTCATAGAAAAGAAGAGAAGAAAGAGGATAGGATTCTTAAAGTGAGATAGGTAGGGCAATACATAGAAGAAGAAGTGAAAGAGAAATAGCAGAACACAACAGATATGTGTGCTACACCAGATAAAAATATTGACTTTTTGAATGCCGGTAAACTTCCGAGCTACCATTTGGCCTGTCGGCAAGAACACCTCATATCCGGCATCCGTCTCTTTTGATGGCGTTAACAGTCCTCTAGAGACCACCATGCCGTCCTTCTTGGTTGAACCCCGTCGACTTCGCTCCTTGCCAGTCGGTGAGAAAATCTCATCTTGAAGGGTCGATTGCGTCTTGGAGAGGTATGATAATAAGGATATACTCGTTCACTATATGGGTCAGTCGAGGAGCAGTCATGTTCCGAGCCAATCGTCCTGTCGTGGCCGGCGTAATCGCATTTTGTTCCATCGGAGCGAAGTCCGAAAGTACTATAGGACGGTACGTTCGTCCCACGAAGCGGCCGCCATCCCGGTGGCGCCGAAAACCACTCGCCTTGTCCGTGCACGTACGATACCATTGCAGCTCTCGTCACCCGACAGTCCCCGGGCTACAAATCGTCTCGCTTTTCAGAAAAAACAGGCACCGTTCCTCCAGAGGTTTTTGCCGTACCGTGATGCCAAGCGTCTTATACCACTTTTCAATGAACGAATGGAGATATCAACTAGACTAAAAAAGTTGCCGCCCGGCGTCGCTAGAAACACGGTTACCATGGCAGCCTCCCAGGCCCAAAATGGAGATCACTATCAGCGCTTCTGACGTCGTGCATCTAGATAATTTTGCGTCGTGTCGCTACTCTGGCAGCTACGCTGCCATATACAGTGGCTCTAGCTGTAGCCCAATCGGCCAACGGTTCTTTTTTTTTTTTTATTGCACATGGCCACCGATCCCTCTTCATCTGTCTGGACTAAAGCCTACGATGTGTTTCCATTTGTCCTGCAAGTGGAGTCAAACGCGCCAGTGCACGAGGCCCGTGTCTCGAGCGACCCTTGGAAGCAGTTGTCGGCGCAGCACTGAAATGAGCGGCCGTTGGAAGCGAATGGCAGCGGAGCACCCGCTCCTCCCACGTGTCTTGCGCGTTTCCACAACAATGGTTGGCGGTACTTGTAAGCGTGAAGTTTAATAAATGAATTTAGTCTGCACTTGCCGGTAGCGCCTTCAACTTATGGAATTTACGAGGATAACTCGAGTGCAGCATGGCTTTGTGTATTTGAGTGGTTCTTTTTCGCTGACAGGCAGACAGACGGAAAGTGTCCTTCCTTGCCATACCCGTTGCCAATCTTGTCAGCTGCTGTGCACTTGGCGCGCGATTGTGGACGAGTAGTAGAGCCGAGCCACTTGGCTTGGACAGAGAACTCCTTGGTACAGTTCACAGGTGGGAAGCGGTTGCTTCTTGTTGCTTTTGACTCCATGCGCAGAAGTGTGTACCTTTTCGACGAGGTCCACATTTCTGGACGTGCAGAAGTGTGGACCTCGCTGCGCGGAAGTGTGGACCTCGCCACTAAATGAGCTATGCTTAGGGTCCGCACTCTGCTCCCCAATATTGCTGTGCCGCCATCTTGGTGCAAGTACAGAGCAGACCAGAGTGTCGAACCGATATTTTTATCGGTTCGGTTCGGGTTCGGGTTCACGGCTTTCGGTTCAGTTCCGGTTCAGTTCCGGAGCGCAAAAAATAACGGTTCAAACCGGTTCGAACCGGTTCGAACCGGTTTGAACCGCTAAATTGAGAATATATTTTCCGCGTTGTTCTGTCAATAGGCACTATTTAAGCCGTGAAACTAACTGCTGTAAACGACCTGATTTTTGCGAGGATCTATTTGTGAGAATTTCACTAATCGCCTACAATTCGCGAAAAATGGGTCCCGCGAACAATTTCGGTAAAATGTAAACACATTAAAATTTATATTGAGGTTCCACCGCGTCGAGAAAATTACAACCCGCGAATTATTCCAAAACTTCAGTTTTGACCTAAATCGCGAAATATTGAGCCCACGAAAAAATAAGTCGTTTACAGTATATAGTTTTTGTTTCTTTATCGTTTGTTCAATCCAGTTTTATTTTCAGGTACCAAAATTATAAAATTCTGTTATTTATTCCTACACAACAAGAAAAGAAAATCTAGATTAACATACAAAACGTCGTGTTTATACGACTCAACATCCCTTCGTTTACCAGAGTCACATACATTGTACCTGAATCGAAATGTTTTCGCGAAATGAAGTAGGTTGCCTAAAATACCCGTGATTGGAACAACTTTGTATCGCAGTATTAGATGTTGAATCGTGGTTTTTCCCTTGAACTAAGGAATTAATTACAGTGAATAAAATCATGAAATGGGCACCTCGGTGTCATATATACCATAAAATGTGTTTTACGGAATACGTTTCACAATATATATATGATGACGAGACGACTGAGCTTAAGGCAATATAATTTTCAAAATGTCAAGAAAGTCACGGGACAAGTCCTTCCAGTCTATATTTTATAGAAACACTAAGCGACAATCGCAATGCTTGTTTTTCTAACTAGCATTGTTTGCTCTCAGCACCATGATGCGGGCGACGAATCATGCGAAAAGAAATGGCTGAAATTGTTCACTCTAATCTATGAGCACCTTCGTACTGAGATCGAATCTCACCTAAAACAGTGCTTACCCATGTGAACATTTTCTTATATTGGATAAACTGGCATAGCCTGGATGTTGAGGTTTGCTCTTGACAAAATGCCGGTCCATTTAATTTGCAAATAAGCATCACCCTCGCTAATTGATGATTCTTCTTAAATAGAACAAAGTGGGATTTCATGCTCTACTCAATTCGGAAGCTACTTAATCGGACACTTTCTGAGAGTTTAAGTGTGCAATCGTCCTAGTTCCATCATTCGTTCCAGTAAAAAAACGCGATAATAAAAACACATACAAAACGCGATAATAAACTTCTATATATTTGAGAAGTTATTTATGCGTGAGGAGCACATAGTTATTTAAATTAGCTTCAAAATAACAAAAAAAAATATTGAAAGCTTTTCCAAATCACCTATAACGTGTCTGTAGAGGATAAAAGCGCCGAAAAAAATTTGCACAACATCTTTCAGATAATTTAAAAATGCACTTACTTATATATCTTTGAGGTGATGATCTTCTATTTATGCTGCCAATTCTTCAGACAGGAATTAAGTATATTTTTATTATCATCGATAAATTTGACTTTATGAAGTTCACATAACCGCCTGAGACGGACACGGAAGTACGATACTCGAAAATACGCCAGCTGTTGAGTCTTCGGCAACGTGCTTTTGTTAGCTGTTTTGCAGTGTAAAATACTGGGTTGCAGGGTATGCGAAAAAACACTGTGGTCACATGATATATCGGAAGGCAAATACACGAAAGGGGCAGAAGTAAGGAGATGACACGCAATTTTTTTCTAAATAATCCCTTACACAACGTTTTACTGCAAAAAGAGATGCATAGAAATGCAGAAAATGATATTCCTAATTAAACATAGATTCCGCACAGGGCAAACGAAGATTTTTAGAACCGTAATATAAATCACTTTTGGGCATCAGCTTGCCTCAGCTCGAAACGTCGCGAGATACTACCTCGGGAGGCTAATGTTATCTTAGGTTTTACGTGCACTTGTTTTGGGACCTTACCTCACGACTTTGTTCTTTATCAGTCATGTGCTCCAACATTTCATTAGACTGCCCTATATCATGGCGAGACTGCTATAAATACTACACAACTTTACACCTTGGACGTCTACTGCTGGTGTTGCGAACGTCGCACTTCACCAGAAAGCTGAAGTATTTAACATGGTTTGCACGTGACGTAGTCACACTCTGGTTGTCATTGCGAGTTATTCTTGCTGAGAAAATCAAATCCGGTGGGGCAAAATGCACGCTGCAAAAGTTTCGCGCTCAGTGCAAGCTATGTATTTGAGAGGCACACATTTTTCTTGTTGGTGCATCGTCGTTAGGCACGGCGCGAGTATCTGGCACGACAAAAACGTGCTTTCTGGCAAGAGTGTTTTTACAAATAAAAGTGTTACCAACTACCCATCTGTCACTATCGTTTCCAGGCCACGCTTTTTAGTCTGCGCCGAAAATGCGGGCCAGAGGAATCTTTACGACACAGAACGCTTTAAAACTACCTCCCTCCCCACTCCCCTTTTTTTTAGTTGCTCCTCAAGATTCTTTTTATTCCTCAGGGATTGCCTGCTCCGTATTGAGTGGTGTTCACTCGACAATTATATTTGTGTCACTTGTTAACAGTAATTCTTCCTTGCTTTTACTTTGCACCATACTGTGAAGTTTAAACAAAATACAGGGCGGTCGAAACTTGGAGAACTTGAGAACGACACTCCTGTGAGACTTAGAGCGGCTGCCAACGTTCGGCTATCCCCGTGAGGCCACTAGGACCTTTTTTCTCAAGTATCCCTCCCGTACACACTAATAGTTCCATGTAACGTGGGACTAATACGTCACATTTAGACCCTTTAACACTCCTATTCTCGGGACAACTTTCTGATGCAGTTCAGCAATAACGAAAACATGTTTGGGAGCCTCAATGGTGTGCATACATGTAAAATGGGTCGTGCAGCACTTTTTTTTTTTACCTTAAGTTCAAAAAATACCGCTAAGATGCAATCCCTGACGTTGATATTTTGCAAAAGCATCCATTAGTTTGCCCCTCGGCGAAATGGCAGACAGTCGAAAGAAAGAAATGAAACAGCTTTCCCCTCCTCAACCCGCAATTAGAACTATCAGCCACGTGATCTGATCCTAATATATACACCGTCAGTGTTTATCATAGTCGTACGCAGGGTTGGCAAAGCAGAGAGCATGGGCTGATCTTCAGATATAGTTTTAGTAGGGCTATAATGCCCGAGCCCCACTAAAGCGACAAACAGAAACAAATGACAGCGGCTAGCCTTAAACCAGAGTATTTCGCGATTTGACAGGCTTTGTAGAATAAGGAAGGCTATTCTCAAACACGAGTATCATGCACACGATGGTACCATTTGCAGGCTTTAAACGCTCGTGCTA